TTGATTCTTTAAATGATAAATAATGATGCAACTTGGACTCCATTATCTTATCCTGTCAGAGATGGTAAATCTGCTCATTAGTTGAGTGACTTTTCAAAGCTGAGGAAGACATTAGAGGAAAGATAGAGATAAAGAAGTTAATCAAATTATAGTATGAATACTTTGATGTGGTTCAGGTATGTTTTATAATCATTGGGATATGTTGTATTTGCAGTTTAAGGTGTTTGAAATAAATCTGGCTTATTGGATAATCTAATTACAATTTGACATTTATATTAGACTCATAGCATTAGTTTTAAAGGCATAGTGAGTTTTATTAAGTTTATAAATGATACTTAAATATCACTTAAGGTAATCTGGTTTATTATATTTTATTTGTTTACCAGATTAATAGGAATTGGTTAAGTGCATAGGAAGATTTTGTTTTTTGGTTTGTCTGCCAGGCTTTTGGAGTGGTTGAGAGAATTAGGTATGTTAAATGTGTAAAATGTAAGAAGTGCCTGGGAAAATGTAATTCATAAATTGGGTTATTTAGAATTTAATATTTTAAACTATTAATGAGTTGAATATAATCAAAGAAGTGATTGTGAATTCTTATTTTTTGCATGAAAGTATTAGATTTATAATAAGACTTCTAAAATGAACTTAAAGGCTTAGGGAACACTAGGCTTTTGAACTTACAATTTCAATATATTTAATGAATTAAAATCCAATTGTTAGAGAAGTCCTTTTAGTGCAGAAGGTTCCCTCAGACATTTAAAAGCTCAAATAACACGAGTAAGCATGCAAGGAATAAATGGTGGTTATAACTAACGGTGACCCCTGTTTGCCCTTTTGTTCCTTTAATTTCTCACAGTGAAGCATCCATAACTGTGTGTCAATATCTTGAGTTCATGGGAGTTCTGATTAGCTGAAGGCAAGGATTACTAAAAAAACAATAACAAAAAACTAAAAAAAAAAAAAAAAAAACCCACAACATTTTTTGGAGTCAATTTTATTACTGTTATATTTCACATGGAGGAGACTTAGTTACATAGAGTGATATTCTATGTTGATTACCAGTAGTAGAAGCACAAGAGTGTGGAAAGTGTAACATGAACACAGTGAAGAAACACCCTTTGACAGAGTGAAGACCATGTGACAGAAACACATTATCCCAAACAGCCTATGTACAAATAAATACAGTGCTCAGTCTATGTACAGACATATTCACAAGAATCAACCAGACGCAGAATCTCTATACAACTCTTCGTCCTGTGAAATGGTTCATAATAAAACACACAATGACAAAAATAATTTGGAAGTACATCACGTGGATTCCCGTACGGATAAAGATAGGTGCTCAAATGCTTCTTGAAAATGAAGGCAAGCAAGGGAAGCATCAGATGACATCTATCCCTAAAAAGATCCTTTACAAAAATGGCATTCTGAGATTTTTAATGTCACTTGTCCAAAAAACAGTTTACAGGATCGAGGGCAAATATCTATGTTGGGGTCAATGTTGACATATCTGTTTTAAAAATATGAAAGGAACTGATATAAAATTTAGCTTTCCTTAGGGCTCGCAGCAACTTCATGATGGCAGGAAGGTAGCTTTGCTCTTATTTTTGATGGCTCTTTGAGAACACAGATTGCATGGAGTTGGAAGCTGTTGCTTCTAGAGTTTTTTTAAAAAAATATTCTTATTGATTTCAGATTGGAAGGGAGAAGGAGAAAGAGAAACATCAATGATGAGAGACAATCATTGATCGGCTGCCTCCTGCATGCCCACACTGGGAAACCGTGACCTCCTGATTCATAGGTCAACACTCAACCACTGAGCCACACTCAACACTCAACCACTGAGCCACACTAAAACTGGAGCTAGAAACATCCAGGCTAGCTGCAGGGCACGTATGGACTTGTGTGCAGGGTTCAGCAGGGCAGTATGCTGACAGAGGCTCCCTCTTCCAGATGGGAAAGTTTCTTTGGAGAAACCCTTCAGACCACAACACAGTCCTAACAGGAGCATCACCAGCACTGGGTCCAGACACTCTTTCTTCAGGGAAATGGCCATTTATGCAGAGAATCAAAGGAGTCGTCCATTTTAATATACATACTTATTCTATATCAGTAATTTAGTTACCCGGTTGTGGTGAATATTTCTAGGCTATTCATTGGCTTTTAGTCATTCTTTTCACTTTCAAATTACATACACAGTCATGGTAATGTGAAATACCTTTTTAGTTGTGGGGACCCCTGTGTGTACATGTAAGTCTATCACACTGGGCCAGAAATTGTGTATTTTAGAAGAAAGGAGAGAAAAATCTAATGCATCCTGAAGTGTGCAGTTCTCTATGCCCTCCCATGGAAGGTTTTAAGATTAAGAAATTATTGATAAGGTGTGTATCTCTCTTTGCCATTTTTATAAGGGAACTTCTTAGACCCATCCTATATTTGTATAAACATGGGAACAAACTTGGAATTTCCCAGGAATATATTAATACTTGCTAATTATCCATTTCACTCTCCAGGTGGATGAACCTTGCTTTACATAACAAATGGATTCCTGAAAAGTAGTACATTTATAATTTTAAAAAAGGAAGATTTTTCAATACAATATCAGAACTTGCCACTTAAAGGATCTGTGTAACAAGCTATTTTGAAAATAAAGAATGCTTTTGTGAAATGAATACTTTCTTTGATCTTCAGAGTTTTGTTAAAGTATACATCTGAAACTTATGTAGATTAGAGTTGTCTAGGACAATAATGTTATGCAATAAAAAATAGGACTCCAATTTACAACAAACTATACAAAACAGGAATCACTCATGGACTGCTTATTAACTGACTATATTCAGAAGCCCTGAATATATGCATTATTGGTATTTTATGGCTTTAATTAAGACAATTGTCTCTTGTGAAGTACTATAAAGTGCAATATTAAAAAATTAAAAACCCAAAAGGCATCCATTGTCCTTCAGTATTATCTTGATGAGAAGAATTGAAGATCTGTTTAATTAAATGGCAAGGGATTATCTACCCTTAATTCATGCATGTAATTTCATCCTTAAAATAATTTTATCCAGGAATTCACACTTCATTCATTCTTTTTGTGAGTATGACATGATTTAAAAAATATTATTTCTTTTGGTTAGTTGAGTTTGAACCCTGTCAGTCCCAAGGCCTTAGTCACCTACAGGTCTGTTATGAAGGCTAGGCTAACCGGTATGTGAGCATGCAGGAGCATGTGCCCATCCTGTTGGTAACTGGTGCCCATTTTCCTGGGCCAGGACCTTCATCAACAACCTTACAATTCCCACCCAACCTACCACACAAGGAAGTAAATGCGCTGCAATACTGAGTGGTAAGAGGAGTTCCAATCATTGCTCCTGTTTCCTGTTTAAACTGAAAATATAAATTGCTTTTGGGTTAGCCAGTGCAGGTCCAGAGTTTCGGAATGATCTCCAGTGGTGCCTCCCCCATTCTGAGTTCCCTGTGAGTGTGGGATTATAACCTTAAAACGAAGCTCAGGAACTTGACCTTCCCAGAGCCTCGAGATAATGCTGTACCCTGTGTTCACACTTTTCGAGGGAGGATGAATGCCTGTGGGTGTGCTCAGGGCATTTCTGTGAGTCTACTGTCTTGCGATTTTCTGTTCACAGTTTGGTAGCAATAAGGAGGGATTCCGTGTCTCCCCCCCCCCCCCAAAAGTAGTAGTCAGTTACGGTATGTGAAGCCTAAATTGCTATGTTTTTGAATGTTCACATCCAGGAGATAGAGAAATGCTCATTCAACTGGCCAAATGCAAGTAAACTGGGGATGTTGGTGGTGGGAACTTTGAAGGGGACTAAGCACTGGGTCCAACCTGGACTTGAAAACTGGACATGGGGTTAGGATAAACAGATGGAAGTTTCATAAGGCCAAGTGGAGAGTGGCTCATGGTAGGTAAGACACCTATTCAAATGCATTGGGCAAACTGAGAAATAGAGGAAGATACAAAAGTCATGGGGAACCAAGATGAATGGGAGTGAGTAATGAAGTATGATTTCCTTAAAGGTAAGGGCCACAGATGGGTGGGTAAAGAAGGAGCGGAAGGTTAGGTTCAAGGCTGTAATTCAGGCATGGTCAGACATCATGTTGCGTCATAATTAGTCATAAGGTTCTATAATTTAAGAGCAATATCAAGGATGTAAAAACTATGAAGAAGGTTAGAGAAAATGATGCAAAAAAAAAAAAACTAATCTAAAGATAGTTTTGATGAAAATAAAAGGGTTTCAGAGTGATGACACCTAACTGTGTCAAGGGTAAGTAGAAAGAGTGCCTGCCATTCAAAGGTGAAGCCATCGATTTGAAGGGCAAGGTTTCCCCTGGAAGGAAACTTTTCTGATGCCGATGGCTGTTAAAGTTAGTAGCTGATGGAACTGGGTTACACGTCTGTGCTGGGACCCCTTTCCCACAAGAGGGGGTCCTTTAGATTAAGGTAATAAGTAGGACAAACTCTTTGAACAAAAAAGCCTTTAGCAAACTCCATGCAAATCCCATGACCCTTTTCCAAACTTGGGTATTTATCTGTTTTCCAGTCTGTCCATCAGTCATTGGTGGGAGTGTTTTGGTTTAGATCATCTGATGTTGCACAGTCTCTCACACATTCGAACACAGTTGTTTAACCAGTCATAACTACAGGGTCATTTTTGTCTCTAAAAAAACCTGACTAACTGGGGGATTGGTTTGTCCTGCGTAGCACTTTCTCTCTCTTTTGAAAGACAATTGTTGCTAGGAAGAGTAAAGACTACTGTGACATTCAGGTGGTTCTGAGCATGACTGATGCCCTGTGCGTGGAAGGGGTGTGAAATGACAGTGCACACATTGTGTGTGTGTGGGCAGGGTCTCGGTGGAAAGCGCGTGTTACTTCCATAGCAAACATGAGTGTGTCTGTGACTCCCACAGATGCCTACATTCTCCCTCCGCCACAGCCCAGTGAAGTGAAACAAACATTGTGATGATGTAATGATAAGAAAGTGAGTGCCCTTTATTGCTTTTCTTGTATACATTTCAGAGAATATGAAGAAGTGAGATTAAAAGAGAAACACAAAGATCCAGAGGCAAGAAGCTAAAGTTAAAGAGACAGCGAACCAGGGGTGTATTACCTACCTTCCCCAAGGCCTCCTTGAGAAGGGAAAGATTTTAAATCTGGGACTCTTGTAAGTGGTTTAAAAAAGCCTGAATGTTGTAATTATTTTAAACTACCTGGGAGTATATATCAATGTGACACCTACTTTCTTGGAAACCCAGTAAAAATAAGTTGATTTCTCCTTTTTTTATTCTTCTCTTCTTCCCCCATTGACTCCCTCTTAATGATAAGCCCTAATTGAAGATGGTATTGCTGGGGAAACTCTAAGAGTTGAGGGGATGTCTTTAAAAATATTAATCCAATGGTTATGTGAGATCTGGCTTAGCAAGGATGAGCATTAGCTCCTATAATGAGGTTCACGAGATAGCTGACTTCTCTAGAAATCATCCTGAGGATATCTTCCCTTTATTTCTTTTAGAGCAGGACTGCCGCTTATAATACAGCCACTTAATTAATGGAGTAGCAGTCTGTTTGGTGCAAGGAAGTATGGCATCCTCCTAATCTCGTGTGTGTGTGTGTGTGTGTGTGTGTGTGTGTGTGCGTGTGTTGGTAGATGTAAAGAATAAAGCTTACTGGAGTTTTTTGAAATGCTTGTATGCAGATAGGTCATAGGACCCATGTCAGATATCCCAAGCCAATCATTTCAGCGAAGCACTTAAGAGAATTTCCATCTCCTCCATCTTTCTGCCTGGCCAGCAGCTCTGTCTGCTGTCATTCCCTTGGTCAGCTTTCTGTCAGAGCTCACCTCCTATCTCCCTTTACAGAGGAGTCGGTTTAAGAGCGGTGAGCAATGGTGGGGAGTGTGCCAACTCTCTCCCTGCCCAGGGATTGATGTTCTTTAATATTACAAATGTCTCATCAGCGAGGCAGCTGTGTTTTGCTGAAAAGGCTCTAAAACCACCTGATTTGCGTCTTCCTTAGAAAGTAAATAATAATGGCCCTTGTCAGGTGACACTCGTTAAAAGCCTTACAAAGCATTTCCCCTGAATATGAAACAGTCCCTGCCTCTTTTTAAAATTGCCTGAAAAGGCTTTAGGCTATTCTTCCACATCCGCCAAACTGATAAGCGACCCCCCCACTCTTCCCTGCACAGGGCTGTGCTTTCTGGATCTGTCATGGCTCGGCTCAGCCCACGGCCCGAGCGGAACACTGTCTAACCCCCAGCTTCAGTTCTTCAGGAGCTTGTCAGACTCAGCGTGGCAATTCCCAGGCTCAATCTAGAAGGTTCTGTTTGGGCATTCTCAGTGTGAGCCAAGTTGCTCTCCTGTTCTGAGGCTGCCTAGGGCGGGGGGGAGGTGACAGTAAGACCCGTGCCCTTCACTGTGGGTAAATGGCACCATGTGGTGCAGCTCCTTTATTTTAGATTGAGCAGTACAAAGTTGGCTCTTGAATTTTTGATATTATTTTATATACCCTGCTGTAGTATCTGCAGTCCAAATTATTTCCCCCCTTGTACTTTTCTGTTGTGTATTTTTGTCTCTCCATCAGCACTAGGGACATGACTGATAGGCTGTGAATCTATACTCTCGGGGTGGGGAAATACATGGGTTGGGAACATGAGTGTATGTCGAGATGTGTGTGTACACAGAACAAACCTTGGGAGGTCAGGAGGAAATGTTTCCTTGAGCTGTGGGCGAGCAGGACTCTCTTTCCTTCACTTTGGCAAACTTGTGCTCCCTGCTTTTGAATCCTGAATGTGATTGGTCAGAGGGTGAGGATGTAAGTGGTAGTGTTGTGTATATACATATAGATCTGCTCTCAAATATGTATTTATATATGTATATACACAGGCATGCAGAAGAGGCAGTAGAGGTGACCTACTGAGGAGAGACACTTCCTTATGGGAATGACCTCGATGCTTTTAAAGATCTGCTGCATCCCATACGCTTCTCTCTGGACTCACCGCAGCCCAACACTTCACCTCACAGGCACATAGTGAGGGGCGCGCAGGGGCGCGGAGGTGGAGCCTGTATACCACCCTGCAGTGTGCGTCATGGGGGTGGGGCCTGGGCCTTGAGAGGGTCTTCTCAAGTACAGATCTTCGTGAACGAACAGATGTGTCCCTATGAAAAGGAGCTCCTTGGCTGCTGAGTCTTTACTGTGATCAGGGAGCTAATAGGAAGAAGCGAGGAGGCAGGGTGGGGGGTTGGGGGAGCATCAGGAAGTACTGGAGGAAGAACAGGGCTTCACCGGACCTCCCTCATCCTTTCCGGTTTACAGTCTATCTGTGGCGGAGTCAGAGTCACCTATTCAAACCTTCTTTCAAATAACAGACCAGTCGATAACACACATCCATGCAATAACCAACTCTGTGCCCCTTCAAGTCACCAAGCACAGGGAAGACAAGCAGAGTTTTTAACTAAAAGTTCATGTATTCTCATTCACTCTAAGGAACCAGCACAAATTCTTGCCTCAAAACAAAATATTGCCCTTGCGGAATGAGATGCGGGTTTATCTCACACAACCGAAAGCCAGACTCTGCAGTGCTGGGGAGACCTGAGAGCCCGCCTCATGGGCGGTACCGGCTTTTTCCCAGGGGGCCTCCGTTAGAAGTGCTTTCTGCATGTGGGTGAGGAGCAATGAAGGGCACTGGCTGTTACTGCCAGGCTCTGTGCAGGGAGCCGAGGTTCTGCGGAAGGAACACTGAGCTTGATCTGGAACTTCCTCTTTTTCTCAGCGGCGAGTTCTGTCTGCATCCTGTCTCCCTATGTTAGGAGGTCTGTGCTCACAACTAAATCACAGCCGTGTCAATGGCACAATAGCCTGGAGGTGAGAACATGAGTGGTAGAGCCCCCACAGGAGGTGTGTGCCAGCTTAGGTGTAGGAAGGGTATGGAATAATGAGCCACCCTCAATGGACTTTTTCAACCGATTTTAGGAAAAGGGTAACTCAGGGAAATGAAAGACTGAGTATTTTCCATCCATTTAGTAGGCCATTATTTTCCTGCTGATTTTATTTTCTATTCACATAGATCTGAGAAATCATACATGGTGTCAAACAGAATCTGGGGGTACTGCATGAGTGGAATGGAATTATCCCATGAGCGCTGAGCAAAATAAAAAAAAAAATCAACGCCTTGGCGGGGCTGGCTGGAGGCCAGTGTGAAGAAGCTGTCGAGTACGGCCTTCTGTGTACTCTGCAAGCTAGCGAGAGTCCCAGGTGGGTCCCGATGGCAGGAGAAGCATGGATGGTGCATGAGCTTTAAATCCTGGTCTTGGCACCACTCCACAGAGGACTCAGAAACATTCCCCGTGTGCAAATGCCTTCCCACACATCTCTGCGCTTCCTCCACCCAAGCAGTCTTGGTCAGAGTCCACGGAGCTCTATCTAAGGAGCAATGATTTCTTCAGATACTGAAGCCCTCTATGACCACACTGGAAGAGGCTTTGAAGAACCATGCTTTCCATTCCCTTTAGGTGGCAAGTCTCACTGTGCACCTCTACTGGATGGAATTTCTTATTGTACTACCACATCCAGGCTCTCTGGGCAGCATTTGGATTACAGGAGAGCCCTTAGCATCAGAATGTGTCTAAGTGACAACTGCATCTGTGCTTGCCTCTCTTCCTTTGATGGCAATGGGACATGCATGGAAACAGCCGAGATTCATTTGATATAGTCTCGCTGTCCTAGAAGAGTGCTAATTTGGTTTGCAGTCATAGTTTCTACTCGCATGCTGGGGAGGTATATATATATATATATTTAAAACAAACCAAAAACAACAACCCTGGTTAGCGTCCCTCTGCCCCCAAACCTTTGTCAACTACGTCCGGGTTTGACCTCCTTCTGTCCCGGGGAACCCTGCGGGTGGGCAGAGAGTCTCCCCTGTTTGGCTTGTGGAAATGTTTGGAGGGCTCAACTCAGGGCCACGACAGACCCTCCCCGCCCAGCCCTCTTCCCCAAGACCTACATCCCTGAAGCATCCACCTTACCCAGCAGGATCCCAGGGAGTTCAAGGTAGGCAGAAGGCCACAGCAATGATTCCATTGGTGTACCTCTTGCCCTTAAGAGGTAAAGCTCACACAGAAGGTCAGTGCCCCTCTTCAAATAGATATTATAAATATATTAGAGCTATCCCTGAAAAGATGCATGTGTATTTATATATACATATACATATACATATACATATATAATTTTATATATATGGTGTGTCTTTGTGTTCGTGTGTACAGGTGTGCATGACTCTATAGGTGTGGAAGGAGAGGTATGGTACAGGAACAGGCCGTGTATTCATGTGCATCTATGTATACTCTGAATAACTTATAGGTGTATACACAGCTCTGTCATTGTCTGCATCGTTACAGAGAATGTACCTCCGACCAGCGAGGAGTACCTGTCAGTAGTGCGTGCAGAGAAGCCCCGGATGGACAGTTCTCTCTGCCTCTCGCATGAAGCCGTTTCCGCAGGCAAAGGGTGGCAGCAGTCTGTGAGGCGGGCAGCTCCTCCTCACGTCCACCAAGGAGGGCCACGCCACACGCCCGGGCTGGGTGCCCGCTGCCTCTTCTCCAGAGACCAGGGAGTCTAGAACCCAGAGCGGGGGGAGGGCCCACCTGGGCTGCTGTTGGTTCAAGAGATGGCTTTCCCTCTAGACGGAGATCGGGCACTCGAGGATCCGGTCTTCGAGGAGCACGCTGAGCACGAGGAACACGAAGTAGAGGCCGAACATGATGAAGCCCAGCACTTTGTTCATGCGCCACTTGCAGAGGGCAATGGAGAGGATGACGAAGAGCAGCATGATGAAGAGCAGGACGATGGCACAGAAGAGGCCATTGCTGCTCACGGCCACGGGCTGGAACCTGTGGATCATGGTGAATAGCAGCCAGGGCAGTGGAAGCCTGCGGGGGGGCGAGAGGACAGGATTGGCAGGGGGCAAGCAGACAGGGTGAAGGGGGCAGGTGAGGCAACCTTAGCTTCTTGGAATCTATAATGGGAAAGGAGTCTTGCTAGGCTCACTGTGACTTGGGCAGGGCTGGCCTGGTAGTCACAAAGGAAGTCGGGCGAGTTTTAAGAACCATTATCTATTTCCCCTCTGAATGAGGGAGCAGGGAGAGAATGTGTTCTCCAGCTGAAACTGGTTTGGCTCAGTGGATAGAGCGTCAGCCTGCAGACTGAAAGTTCCCAAGTTCGATTCTGGTGAAGGGCATGTACCTTGGTTGCGGCCACATCCCCAGTAGGGGTTGTGCAGGAGGCAGCTGATCGATGTTTCTCTCTTATCAATGTTTCTAACTCTCTACCCCTCTCCCTTCCTCTCTGTAAAAAATAAAATAAAATAAAAAAAGAATGTGTTCTCCAGTTGGATCCCATCAAAGACATGGCTGCGGCAGGTGATTTCCGAACTGGTTTTGAAACAACCATCCTTAGTTGAGATGAAAATGTCCCTCTCAGACCTGGACCATTTGGGTGAGAGGAGGTGAAGACAAATGGATAAAAGGTATGGAAATCGGCAGTGAAAATGAAAAAGTTATTATTTTTAAATGGAGAGAAATGGCAACAGCTTAGTTAACAACCTGAAAAGCTAGTGAAAATACATGCTGATGGTGGGGCCGATGACACGTAGCTGCCTAAAGTTTATGTTGGAAAAGACGGGATATCCCTTTCACTGAAAACGACCTTTCTGAGAGATCTGGGGAAGACAGTATCTTACATTCGTGATGTGATTTAAAAAAAATTTATTATGGATTTTTATACCTGTTCTCTCCCTTTGTATTTGACTTAAAATATGACAACATCCTTTGTTTCCTAACCAGAATGGCGACTCTGAAGACAGCAGAGGAGCTAGCTGCCAGGCGAACCGTGAGAGTGGGCTAGGGCCCCCTGGAAGGGACATGGCTGCAAACGGCGGACTCTGGGGAAACGGAGCCCTGCTACAGGGCTTAGCCCTCTGCACGGCCTAGGGCGAAGGGAGATTCCCTTTCGGCCTGGCCTCAGCTGTATGGAAGAGGAGGCACCCTTTCCAAACACAACGCTCTCCAGAGGAAAAGCTCGGGGCTTGAGGGAAACAATGAGCAAAGGGGACAGTGACTTTATACCCCTGTCTCTGTTGGACAAAGTGCATGTGAAGGTAGAGCCCATACGTACGTATTTTTGAACTCCCAGCGCCTGGCGCCCACGAGCCCCCATCCAGGAGCATGTGTTAACCTGGGCCAGGCTGGAGTGACTGATAACTGCCTCATGGTGATCATTTACAGGCAATTTGCTCACAAGAACCTGACTGGGAGGCGCTTACTTCAGCGGAGATGTCAGGAGGGGAGTGTTCCACATGGCCACTGCAGGGAATGGGTGCAATCCCAGCTCTTGGCAGGAGGGGGCACCCTAGCACCCTGCGGTCAGCAATGGGAAGTCAGCAAAGGGGCGGGGAGTGCTGGTGTTGAAGATAAAAAACCTCTCCTGGAACTTCCCCCGAGCAATTCTGTTTACACACTTCCCATAACTTGTTAAGCCACACACACACTCATTCAGAGTAGTTCTGGTAAAGAGTTGGTTAGTGGCACCACAAATACGGAGGCAAAAACCCTTTTGGAAAAATGACATTTTTCATACCTTTGACATATCAGTTCTATTATCAGGGATGGAGCATAGTGAATAATTCAAAATACAGATATAACTTTATCCAAAAAAGTGATAATTTGTGTTATTTTTAGTAGTGAAAAATTGGGTATATCTTAATCTCTAATAATAGGGAATTTATTAAGTAGTGATGAATTATCAATGATTTGTATTTATGCTTTATATGTATTGTCTAAGTCCTTTTCCATGAATATATAATAATCTTAAGTAAAAAGAAAATGAAGGTAAGACTATGAACTTTTACACTCAATATATTGCCAAATCTTTGTAAATTGGTATAAACTCTTCTGAAAAACTTTTGGAAAAATATACATCAATAGCCATTAAGAGGCTCATAATATTTAAACTCATCAATATTTCTTGAAAGAATTTATCCTATTTAAAATGATTAAAAGAGGAGTTTTTTTTCTGCATAAAACTGTTCATAGAAACACTAAAAATAGCAGGAAATTAGAAAATATAGAAAGAACTTACTAAAGGATAATAGTTAAACTGAAAAGCAACAGCATGAGATATTTTAAAGACATAAAATGTTAATTATGAGAGATAGGAAGAAGCTTAGAAAAATAGTTGTCTTACTAATTTGCTAATAGATGCCTACCCCATGCCAGGCAAAAATGCCTTTAAAATGGAAAAAGGAAAGCCCTCTAAGAAGATAAAACTCAATATTCCCTAAGGAAACTGTGAAATATTTGGAAGAAAACACACAAAAGTTAATGTTGTTCTTGGGTAGTAGGATTAGGGGTCATTTTTCTTTCAACTTTCAGTTGTTACTTAATATACAATTTAAGAACTATGATCACAAACATTTTGCAATTTCCTAGAATATTTATTTTTAAAAAACATGAAAAATATGACTTAGATCACTTGTAATTTCCCCGTTTTTAGGATATTCTTTTTTATACTTTTGATCATTTTGTTTTCCATTTTACAAGAGACTGGCCAAGAAAACTACTCTAGTGTAGGCAGCGGAACTGAGAAATATTATTTATATTAGGGATACTATTCCTTTGAAACATACACATTTCAAGGCATCTGCCTTTCCTTCCTTCCTTCCTTCCTTCCTTCCTTCCTTCCTTCCTTCCTTCCTTCCTTCCTTCCTTCCTTCCTTCCTTCCTTTCTTCCTTCCAACATTTGTCAGCCACTACTAAGCATTAGGCAGTGTATTAGGCTTTGGTGAGTTCTTGCTCTCAGGGATTTCAGTTTAGCAGGCAGACTGATGTACATGACCGTGACAACAGTACAGGCCCAAGAGAATCAGAGAAGTCCTCATTTTAGTTGACATTGGAAGGATCAGTTGGAGTTTTCCAGGCAGGGAGGGCTGAGTGACAGGGGCCAGTCCAGAAAGGAAGAATGGCAGGAGAGGGCACCTTTGGAACTTGAAGCTGGTTTAGAGAGTAGAGCTCAAAGCAGGCTTTTATGCACAGATAGTGCTCCACGTGAAAGCACAGATGCTTCAAATCTCAGCTACCTCTTTTCCTATGAACTCTGCACCCTTCCGTTTCCTTATCTGAAAAACGAGGATGATAAAATACCTTATGAATCTCTGTGAGGTTTAAATGGGTAAAAATGCATGTACAATGCATATTGTAGACACTGAATGAAAAATTACTATCATATATATTAGGTAAAGTAGAGATATAAGAGAAATAATATCCAAAATGTTCAACAAGAGAGCAGACCAATTTTAGTGAGTTTCCAAATTCAAGTGTCCAGAGCCCAGTTCTCCTGGGAATACAGGAGGCTGCCATTGAAGGTTATATATCAGACTAACTTTACTTTTTGACTGATAATGAAACAGCACCCTTCCCCAGTATAAGCCACTTTAGAGCTTATTCACATTGAGAATTCCAGTCTGCTTAACTGTAAGAACAGATCTCATCTTCCAACTTTCAAAACACCTAGCACATCTTCACCAGCACAGATAACCAAACGATAATGTGAACCTGCTAGCCCTTTCCCAGGAAGAAGCTGAGATATTTTTGCCGGGTCTATGTTTGTTCCAATCTGCTTTACAATCCAAATTTCACTTGAGGTTGGTAGGGATTTATTTAGAATTAGAATATGAAAAAACATATAGTGAAACTACTAGATTATCTCAGTTAAGCCTGACTATTGAACAATCATAACATGTATTAGGCTTTGGTGAGTTCTTGCTCTCAGGGATTTCAGTTTAGCAGGCAGACTGATGTACATGATGTAATCACAGAAGTGAAATTCTCCTAACATACTTCCTACAACATTCACTCCGTATACAGGTATGTGTTTTTGCCTGTCTAGGGATAACTTGTTCTTCATTAAGTTTTCTGAAAGTGAAAAATGGAATTGGTGACACCGAATGGTACTCCCAGTCTTTACTTCCTAAGGACATTGGTTAGTATTGGGCTCAGATATCTTGGTCTGGCTATGTCTTCACAGCTTCCAAGACAGCAATGAAGCTGATGTGCATCTTTATGGAGCTGTCTCTACTTACCCTACGGTGATGTCAAAAATGTTGCTTCCGACAGAGCTGGATACAGCCATGTCCCCAAGCCCCTTCCGGGCCACTATGACACTGGTGATAAGGTCAGGGATGGAGGTCCCAGCAGCCAAGATGGTCAGACCCATAATCTCCTCACTAATGCCAATTGTCTCTCCAACCTAAAAGTGATGACAGGGACAAACGTGAGAGTTTGTAGTCACAAAACCATTCATACCACAAACATTTCAATGCAACATCTTTTTATTTTAATTAATTAATTAATTAATTAGTTAATTAATTAGTTATTTCTAAAGTTTTACATGTGTCTTCTTTTACCCCAATTGATTCCTCCCTCCCGCCGTTCTCATCCCAGGCAAGCCCTCACTGCCCCAGTGTCTGTGTCCAGCGGTTATGCTAATATGCATGCATACAAGTCCTTTGGAATGTAACACCCTTTTAATGAGTTCCTTCTCTGGGTTATGCTGAGCACTGAAATGAAAAAGAGGAATAAGCTACAATCATTGCCATAGAGTTTACACATTAATGACATTCAGACCCAAGAGATTGGGAATGTTCACCTAAGGTTTATAATCTCAAAAAAGGCTACACAGGGCAGCCTCTGTATGGTGTTTGCTAAGACTGGGCAGAGGAAGCAGAAAATTAGAAAGCAGAAAATTAAACACACACAAACACACACACACACACACACACACAACAACAACAAAAAAAAACCAAAACCAAAAACAAACAAACAAACAAAAAAAACTGGTCAGTGCCTAGCAATGGCACCAAATTCTGTGGCAGATGTCCTTGGATTTACCATTGAAGGTTAGAGTTACACCTAGCATCCCCATGCTTCCTGAAAAGATCCTCGTGTCCATAACCTCCTCCTAAACACTTAAAACTACCATTTCACAGGAAACTTGATTCAGGCTGATTTTGCTTTGATAATACAGAACTGTAAATCAGCAAGGCAGCAAGGAAGAAACTGTCCTTTAGGGAATTAGAGGACCTGGTCCAAGGGCTGGCCGTGGCACTCATTAGGCACCTGACCTATTGCTCAGTGAATGCATTGTGCCATGTGTTGGATCCTCCCTTTCTTATCTATCAAGTGGTGCTTCAAGGTGGTTGTGAGGACTAAGTGGCAATTTGTGGAAAAGTCAATGGTACACATTATTGGAAGGCCAGGGGAACAATTATATTTTCTTTTGCTCTTGACTTTTACAGACTGATGAGTTTGATCATGCATCGTTCTAGCCCAAGCATGTCAAACTCGAGGCTTGTGGGCCGCATGCGGCCCGCAATGATTATTTTTTTTGGCCTAGCCAATATAATGATATGCAAGAAACTTTTTGATAAAAAGTCTGTAAATTAATTTTTATAATATCCTGTTATACATAATTATTAATAACAAACTACAACATTTCTAATGACTGATTACTATAATTATGCTGCATTCATTTCCCTTAAGTGACTTATGTGAAGGCGCATCATTTCTCTCCACTAATACTACCAGCAAATATTTTAGCAGCCGATTGCCAGTCATTACTCTTGTACAGAATTGTTTGGTGTGCACAACAGGAAATATTTCACTTTTGGAGAATAAGAAAAATAGGTTTATTTGCGTTACGCTTATTAATTTGTGCAGTTGCTCAGTGTCTGGTAGTTAATGTTCAAAAAATTAATTTTTATTAAAATGTTCTATTATTTTATGTTAACTTATTTATTTCAGCCCTTTGTATTCAGCATATCTCTATAGAAATAAACCCATGTTTCTATGAAAATTGAAGCTTTTGGTTTTTTGTGGCCCACATAAACTTATACCTTGTTTATTTGGCCTGTGTTAGCCTTTGAGTTTGACATGCTTGGTCTAGGCTCACGTGGAAGCTCCTCCATTCTCTTGAGCAACTTGTTTGTATTTTGGGAACTTTAAAAAACTATATATTTTCTGAAGTTGGTAAACTGAAAACCTCTCAGATAATGCTTTCAACAAGGTTTCCAGCAGCCTCCCTGATGATGTCCATAAGTTTTGAAAAAAACTGAAAGGGATGTAAGTTTAAAGGTTTTCAGGGAATAGAATAGACACATTTCTAAATCCCTCTTTTGATTTATAAGTGTTGGGTTAGTTCTCACTAGCTTAAAAGCACAGTTGGGAATTATTTTATTTTGCTGGTCCTGCCTGCTCCAGAGAACGGTGAGTCGCACTAGCCTGTCCTGTCCTCACGGTGCATGGATTCCCGGCTCCATTGGACAGGGAGCTCCATGCATGCAGGTGAATCTGTGTGGCTCTAGCAACACTTTCACTGAAGGAGAATTTCTACTTACTAGTAAGCTTGTTTTGAGTGAATTTCACTGAAGGAACTTCTGGCTACCCAGAAGCAAGGTGCTGGGTGCATGGATGGGACTGCATCCAGCTCATTTTGGGGAACATCAGAGAAAGATAGAGCTAAAAAGGACACCAGGATCCTCTTGGGGTGTGTGTGTAGGTGTGAATTTCCTTGATTTTTAATAAAAGCAAATGATAGAAGCACTCAGAATCCAAAGCCCGTGCTGTTCCTAATATTCTGTGATGCAGTTCCCTGCCTTGGTGTAAGAAGGATTTACAAGGATGTCATATTGGCAAAAGGAGACATAGGGTCCTTGTTGACTTTTAGAATGAACTTTTCATAGGAGATGCTGTATAGATTTTAACCACAGATTTTCATCACCCATGAAACCTACTAAGAAAAAGATACACGACGCAAAAACTATATAAAAAGAACAAATACAAAGGGAAATATGCAGAAAGCATTTTATGTGAAGGGCACTCCTTTTGGTCAAATGGTAGTCAAATAAGTATATCAAATAGAATGCATACTTAATTAATTACTTAATTAAATTTATTATTGGTAAAACTGTGGGTACCAATACAGTTGAGCACTAAGTATTGTTCTTGCTCTTTTTTATAGCTTTTAGAGTTCAAAGTACAAACAGTAGAATTAGAGCTACACTTCTCAGAACAGAGTCTGCTATTGTGATCAGCTGTGTGGATGTTTTGAAAGAGAAACACATTTCTATGGGAGGGAAGAAAGAGAGACTTCTCATCTATTATTGGAAAGCAAGGCTTCTCTTTATATTTCTGGGCCTTTCTGTAATTATTATTGTTCCAGGCAGTTTGTTTGTGTTTTTCTACAAGAGAATGAAAAGAAAAGAAGATTGTGGAGTAAAGATGAGCATTGAAAAGAAAATGGTGAAAGCGTGGACAATAATGTTTTCTGGGATGGCAAAGAGAAGTAGCTATAAAACAACATATTCCAGCAATTGAAAACCCCCACTTTTTCATTATCAGTGCATGAAAGAATAAAAATGAGTATTAGGAAAAGCCATACTGTTAGCCTGGAAATCTGAAGGCTGAGAAGCAGCCCACCTCTGCAGTAATTTTTTGCCAGGTATTGGTAGCAAGTGTCTCTCAATGAATATGAAAAATAATGACTTTGGGGCAAAAAGAACTTCTTCAGGGGACCAGTGATTTTGAGAAGAATTATCTGAAGTCATATGTCATTAAAATAACTACGATAGTAATAATATAAAATAGATTGTAGGAATAATTTTGGGTATATCAGCCTATGTTTTCAGTAAGTGCTGTTAGTGATTCTTTAAATTCCTTTTTAAAAAAAATCCTCACCTGAGGATATTTTTTTCCATTGATTTTTAGAGAAAATGGAAGGGAGGGGGCGAGAAAAGGGGAGAGGGAGGAGAGAGGAAGGCAGGGAAGGAGCGAGCGAAGCGGGGGGAAGGGGGCGCAGAGAAACAGATGTGAGAGATTGATTGCCTCCTGCACATGCCCCCTTCAGGGCCAGGGATATAACCTGCAACATAGGTACGTGCCCTTGATGATGACTTGAACCTGAGATCCTTCTCTGTGTGGGCCATTGCTCTAACCACTGCTCAGGACATAATTCCTTTTCATTCCTAAGAAGAAACTCTACCTACTATCAGTCTCTCCCCATTTTTCCTTCTCCTTCCCCAAACCAAGGCATCCATTAACCTACTTTCTGTCTGAATAGATTTGACCTTTTTTTTTACATTTCATATAAATGGAGTCACATAACACATGATCTTTGGTGACTGGCTTTTCTTCACTTAGCATAAAATTTAGAGGTTCATTCACATTGTAACATGTATCAAAACTTCATTCCTTTTTACTGTGGAATACTATTACATCATATAGAAGACCACATTTTACTTATCCATCAGTTGATGGACATTTGGGTTGTTTACAGTTTTGGCTACTATGAATAATACCGCTAAGGATATGTGTGTACAAATGTTTGTATAGATGTTCTCTTTTCTCTTAGGTATACATCAAGAGTGGAATCACTGGTTCATATAACTCTATATTTAAAATTTTGTGGAGCTGCCAAACTGCTTTTTAAGGTGACTGCACTATTTTACATTCTTTCCTGCAATATAAAATGGTTCCAATTTCTACACAGTCTAGTGACTGTAAAGTGGTATCTCATTGTGGTTTCCATTTGCAGTTCTCTGATGAATAATGATGTTGGGCATCTTTTCTTGTGCTTATTAGCCATTTGCACAACTTCTTTTGTGACACAGTTATTCAAATCTTTCATCCATCTTTAAAATTAGGGTGCCTTCTTGTTATTGAGCTTACAGGATTTTTATATATCCTGGATACAGTGCTTTATCAGGTATATAAGTTCTAATCTAAATTCATTTATTTTGCCACATGGAAATCCAGCACCATTTGTTGAGGTGTTTTTCCATATATGTTTTTGGAATATCTTTCCTTATTTCAAATTGCTATATTCTACTTATGTTTAAAAGTATAATAATGTGAAGGCTAATATAATAATAAAACAAAGGATCCAAGTGGGCAGTTTGTAATTTAGATAATTTATTTATAAGTGAGATTAAAAGCATAGGTTCTGGAGTTTCAGAGTGCTGGGTTAGACTCTCAGGTCTGCTATTTACTACCTAAATGATCTTGGGCAATTTTCTTATGAGCTCTAAGCTTAACACTTTTATCTGTAAACTGTGAATAATAACAGTTCCTCCCTCATAGGATTTGTACTTATGGACAAATTGTTAAGTGTTATTGTTAAGATTATAAGGACAAAGAGATGTGAGCTGCCTGGCACACAGTACACAATCAATAATGGTTACCACTATTTTCTCTTCTTTCGCATTTCATTCTTTCCTTCATGTGTTACAACAAGCACTGTTTGGGAGTTTATTCTTGTGATAATAAAAGAATATTATCACTGACTTGTCTCTTTCTAAGAGCCTTATGACCCAGGGATTCCAGTTCTGGGTCTATATCCAATGAACCTGAAATACTAATTCAAAAGAATATATGTACCCATATGTTCATTGCAGCATTATTTACAATAGCCAAGATATGGAAGCAACCCAATAGCCCATCAATAGAAGAGTGGATAAAAAGCTGTAGTATTCATATACAGTGGAACATTACTTGGACATAAAAAAAAAATAAAATCTTACCATTTGTGACAATATGGATAGACCTAGAGGGTATTATGCTAAGTGAAAATAAGTCAGAAAAAGACAAATATCAAATGATTTCACTTATATATGGAATCTAAAGAACAACATAAATGAGCAAACAAAACAAACAAACTCACAGATACAAAGAACAGACTGATGGTTGCAAGAGGCAAGAGGGTTTTGGAGGCCTCGTGAAAAAGGTGAAGGGATGAAGAAGTACAAATTGGTAGTTACAAAATAGTCATGGGATGTAAAGTACAGCATGGGAATATATAGTAAATAATATTGTAATAATTGTGTACAGTGCCAGGTGAATACTAGAAATATGACGGGAACACTTTGTGAAGTGTATGATTGTCTAACCATTATACTGTACACCTGAAACTAATACAAAATAATATTGAATGTCAACTGTAATTGAAAAAAAGAAAAACTGGCCCTAGCCAGTTTATCTCAGTGGATAGAGTGTCGGTCTACGGATTGAAGGGTCCTGGGTTTGATTCTGGTCCAGGGCATGGCCATGGCCCTAGTCAGAGCATGAGTGAGAGGCAACCAATCAATGTGTCTCTCTCACATCGATGGTTCTCTGTCTCTTCCCCTCCCTTCTACTCTTTATAAATCAATGGGTGAGGATTAACAAAAAAAGAAGAAAAAAAAAAAAAAGGAAAAAAAAAAAGAAGAAGAAGAAAGCTGGTTAACTCCTGAAGAAAACTAAGTGCTACTGAGTCAGGCAAAACTTCAACAATCCAATGGCCATAAGAAACAGTGAAAAAGTGTCATTTTCAACATGGATGGACCTTGAGAACATTATGGGAAGTGAAATAAGTCAAACAGAGAAAGCTAAGAATGATATTATTTAACTCATATGTGGGATATAAAACTGAGTCTTATGTATATAACAGTTTGGTGGTTGCTAGAAAGTGGAGTGTGCGTGGAGAAAGGGGTCCTAATAAAAGGTGACAGGAGAAGATCTAACTTTGGGTGGTGGGCACATGGTTCTGTATATAGATTTTGTAAATTAGGAATCCACACGTGTAACCTATATGTTCATGTAGATTAATGTCACTTCAATAAAATATTAATAATACTAATAATACTAATAAGAAAATCAATGGGTGAGGATTAATAAGAAAATAAAAACAAAAGAAGGCCAGTTAACTCCCAAAGAGAAAGTAAATGCTATCGAGTCAGGCAGAACCTCAACCTCCCTCCCAGGCCTGAGCTGGCTTCGTTTCAGGCTGCAGAGGGCAAGAAGCAGCTAGGTTTGCCTTCCTTCCTCCACAGGCCTGAGTAGGGCTTTCTGACTTCATGTTCCAGGGAAAGGCCAGGAGATGCGGGAAAGTGAAGTGGGATAAATAAATTCCTTTAGTCCTGGAATATTTAACTTGTCTCGTCAGACGCAATACTGCTGTGACAGTCTCAGAAAGCAAACACACTCATTAACAACTTAGCAACCCCAGGCAGATGGCGTCACGGTCAAGGTCTTACCTGGTGTGCCCACCAGACCATTAAGTAAGAGAATATTGCGATCCAGGTGATGGCGCCGAAGAACGTGATGGGGAAAAACTTCCTTGCGGACTGAAAGAGAACCAGGGAGAGGCGACTGAGTGGGTCTGACAGTTTAAAGCTAACTCCACTGATGCAGCTGGCTGTCTTGGTAGGATTGGCAATCAGAAGGCCCTGACCAACCCCAGTCAAGCTGGGACAGTAAGAGTCTCGGGAATGTGAACTCGGTTAGAGCCAAACCATTGCAAAGCTAGTGCCTGAGGTGGAACTCTCCACAAGAAAAGTCTCCTCTGGCTGCTGGATGCTCAGATGCTCTTCCCAAGGCCTGGTTTCTCAGCCTCGCCTTCAACCTATTAACTCCCCCATATCCTCCCTCCCTCTCCTGCTCCCTTTTCTTTCTTCTGCTCAAGTTCATCAGCACCAGTTTCTATTACTTCAACCCATGCATCGTAATAATCCACATGCCACAAAACCTGTGGGATTAGTTACATTTTACAAGAACAGGAAGAATTCTGAAACTGAGTGGTACATCCCACAGTCCCATGGGTGGTCAGGAAAAGCCACACAGAAAAAGCCATCACCACGGTTTCCATAGATCCCGGGTGAGGCTAGTCCGGGACATTGGAGCCACTCGTTGAAATAGGAACATACAGTTGCCCAACCGTATGGCTCTCCTGGGGGTAGCAGAGTGGACACTTCTTGGGATGTTCTTCCCTTAATTCTGTCTCTACTGCTGGACTTGGCGCAATCTCAGGCTTACCGTACAAGCACTTAAAACAATGCTTTATTAACTATAACTGTTATTATTAACTATTCCCCCTCCATTGTCCTCTCCCAGCTTGCCCCTGCCCCCCAGACTTAGCTTTCACCCCCACCCCTATTGTCTGTGACCATTGGTTATGCTTATATGCATACAAGTTCTTTGGTTGACCTCTAACCTTCCCCTCCCCCTTCCTACCCTCCCCTGCCTTCCCTCTGAGGTTGATTCTGTAAGCACGAGCTCTTTTAAAATTTCCTTTAAACATCAGCCAGAATCAGACACTCAAAATGCAGTGTTTCTTACCTGACCCCACCATAGGGAACTCCATTGCACTATCATTGGTGGTTTTCTGTGGAGGCCCCTTTTTTGCAAAATGTTCTAAGAGCCCATCACCTATTATTGCCAAACACTTTTTATTTCAAAGCTTTCCACTTTGAGAAACAATCTATTTTCTGCTTTGATAATGCCATCCAATTTTGTCCAGAGAAATGAATCCCGGAGTTGCCTGGGATGAAAGCTATTTCAGCTGTCCGAAGGGCTGACCTTGGGCAATCACGTAGAACACTTTCGCTACGGCTTCTGAGAAATCCATTAATAGGAAAAGATAAACTTGTGCACAGTAATCTTTTGAATATCCATAAGATGAACACCGTCTCTATCGCTCCGAACCAGGCTTAATGTTCTCTTCACTAATTTCAAGTTTTCAATATGTTTTTGTTGTCATTCACACAGGTCTGTTAAATTTCACAATAGTCATGTCTCTCTTTGAATGCCTGTGGCTTTTCTGAGGTCATTTGTTGGCTGGGCTATCGGACATACCAGTGGGCTTGATGAAACTGGGGAGACGCAGGCCACTGTGAGTAGCCACAATATTATTCTCAAATACTGTCCCCCCACTCCTACCATCTTGCAAACATGTTGGCCAAAGATTCAGACCCCTTTGGGGATGTGAGCAGTTTAACAGGTTATGGGAAAAAGTAATCAATTTTTCAAAGTGGAGACTGAGATATTCACTTTAAATATATGTTTTTTATTGTTGATAGTATTACGGATATCTCCCATTCCCTCCCTTCCCACTTATCTCTGACCTTCTAGCTCCTACCCACCCTCCAGGTCTTCACCACCCTATTGCCCGTGTCTGTATATAAGTATATACATTCTTTGGTTTATATCTTCTCCTGTCCCCAAACCCACATCAAGATGTGTCAGTCTGTTCCATGCCTTCATGCTTCAGACCTTATTTTGTTGGTCAATTCATTTTGTTCGTTAGATTCCACAAATAAGTGAGATCATTGATATTTGTTTGTCTCAGATTGGCTTATTTCAGCATAGTATTTTCAGGTCCATCCATGCTGTCCCAAAGGGTAAGAGATTCCCCCCTCTTTTTTTTTTTTTTTTTTTTTTTTTTACAGCTGCATAGTCTTCCATGGTGTAAATGTCTCACAGCTTTTTATCCACTCATCTACTGATGGGCACGCGCGCTGTTTCCAGATCTTAGCTATTGTAAATGATGCTGCTATGAACAGAGGGGTGCATATATTCTTTCTGGTGGGTGTTTTGAGGTTTTTAGGATATAGTCCCAGATGTGGGATCATTGGAGATATTCACCTTAGAAAGCAAATTCCTTTACAACTGGGAGTTCAGCTGGATCCTGGAGACCAGATTCCCTGAGCCTTGGGATTGCCACTGCTAAGAAATCAAGTTTTCCCTGCAAAGCATTTAGCTGATTCCAGTCTTCATCCTTTTCCTCTGGTCACAATCACTGTTCCAGGGACCTAAGTGCGATGAGGGTTTCATCTCCTAAGGCCGCGCTCTGTCGCAGGGAAGAGAAGGGTGGGGCCACACATGTGGTTGAACAGCAGCCAGTGAGCTTGATTCTGAGCATCCTGTTGAGGGGAATGGAGCACCATCTCCATACTTGATGGAATGGCACATGTACTGGTTATCCCGGGAGAGTCCTCATTTCATAGATCACTCCCTTTCCAGCTTAGCTCATTTACTAAGTATGTAGTTATTATTTTAATTTTTGTACCTTTGCATGTCTGTTCATTGATATAATGTCACAACTCAGAATCAAATCATTTGAATATATTTCCCATCTAAAAAATATCCCTGAACCATAGAACATTCCCAGCCAAAAGGTAGAAAGTAGGGAATCCAACTAAGGATTTAAAACAACAAAATTCAAATCAGTATTAGTGAAAGGAAAAAAACCTCTCTAATTCAAATCTTGATGCTTATGATTCTTAATCATGAAGCCCATTAGTAATGAATGAACACCGAAATGTACCTTGACCTAGTGTACTATTTGGGGCTCATTAAAAAAGGGTTAAAAATAAATTTTTTGAGTAACTTTTCAGGTCTTCGTCATTAACTAGGGGTAGGTAAACCTGGCACCTATTCTGTACCCAGGTCTTGAACGAGACATAAAATTCAAAGCCAGGACTGTCTGACTACACAGCAGGTGTTCCTAACATCTAGGTTATACCGACTCTTTCCAAAAGAAAAACAGGGGCAGTACTGCTCAAAATATCCCCAGCCACAGACACATAATCATCGCCATCATCATGGCACTGGCCTATGCTCTGAGAGCCAGGAAGTATAAAGAGCACCAGGGCAGTGTAGACTAGCATCCCAGCTGTGTGGCCATCTGCCGCGCCCAGCCTCCCTGTTGTCCCGGCTTTGGAAGCATCTCTCTTCGAGCATCAGCGGTTTGGCTTCGCGCTTCCCAACTGTCAAACCACCTCGCCATTTCCAGACGCACAGCCCAGGTTATTCCTTCCTCTTTCATTTTTTCCCCCTGAACGATCCCCCTCATTTGGACTCTCTGGCCTCATTCCAGACATCACCGCCCAGCAGCACCTGGGCAGTTATTTGGTTACTGTCTCCATGGCGGGAAGAAAATAGCCCTCGCAGACAAGGGCTGCCATGTCAATTTACGGTTAGTAATGGGGGCCCATCCTGACATCTGCTGGGATGGGCCTCACGCTAATTAGCAAAAAGCAAATTGTGTCAGTGTGCCGGCCATTTTGTTCCCAGTGTAATGGCTTCCTTGTATAATTGACAGCTAATGTTCTCATTAGAAGCTTTCAGTACATCAGAGTGATATTTTCTTGGCTTGCAAAAACGTTGCCGAACATTAGCTCATTGCATAAATTAGCCATATCCTTACTCATTTAAACTCAGCAAATACTCACTGAGCATCTACTCTGTGGAAGATTCTGGGGCGTATATATTTAACAAAGTTCTCCAAAAACAATCTTATTAAAGATTAAAAGTGCAGTTCCTAGATTAATAGGACAGGCATTAAAATCCTTGCTGATGCCCGGCCAGTGTGGCTCAGTGGTTGAACGTCAGCCCATGAACTTGGAGGTCACCATTCAATTCCCAGTCAAGGCACATGCTGGAGGTTGTCAGCTTGATCCCTAGTAGGGGGAGTGCAGGAGGCAGCTGATCAATATTTTCTGATAGATATTTCTATCTCTAGATCTCTTAAAAAAAACAACAAAAAACATACACAATAAAAACATATTAAAAAAATTCTTGTTCACCAATTACCAGTGATGTATCCTAAAACAAAATTATTTAATCTCTCTAAGCCTCAATTTCTTCATCTGTAAAATGGGGGAATAGCAAGATCTAGTCAGTCTGAGGATCTCATGCACATAAAGGCTCCAGCAAAATGCCAGCCACACAGTAAGTGCACAGATAACAATGGCCATTATTATTTACAGTATTATCTTCATATAGTGTTTTTTTTTTTTTTTTTTTTTTTTTTAAAGAAATTAGGAAATTGAAACTCAGGGAGGAGCAAGTGTGTGCAGAGACCTGGTCTGGAGTCTTGCCTTTACCTTTTATTAGCTGGGTGTGCTTGGACAAATCTCCAAGCTCTCTGGATTCAGTGGTCATTTACTCCTTGCTAGAACTGTGCTGGGCACATAGTAGACATAATAAATCTACTCAGTGCATGAATCAATGTGTGATAAAAATAGCAAAAACCTTGCTGTGTTCTCAGGAACCTTCCTCCCTCTGATGAGTCATGTTTTGATACCTCATTGGATGTGTTCCTGATTTACAAGAGCACCATCCTAGGCCATTGAAAGGATCTATCTTTTTGGGTCTATATTTCCTTTACTATTTTCAATTTTCATCAAAGACATGTTCCTCATTAAGGTTTACATTTTAGTTTTCTTTTTTAACTTTCAAAACAAAGCCATTAATTTAAGGAAAACTATAAAAGTGAAGCCCAGACTAATTATCGGAGCTGGAAGCGCTTATTATACAACAAACACTGTTGCATCATTTGCATATAAATGAAGTGGAAATAAAAACAAGCAGGAGTGCCATTTACTCTGAAAGTAGATGTATACGTTTTAAAAAAAATTCATGTTTTCTTTGTAATTATTGTCAAGGTTTAGATGCTCATCTCCTTGGTAATTCAAAAGCTACTGAGGAGGATGGAGGGGCTAGATGGTGATGGAACAAACCAAACGAAAAACTACTCTGAGGAGGCAGAGTTGCCAGGCACTGAGGAGTAGCAAAAGTTGACTAATTAATAATTTTGACTTGTTCTCTCTTCTTCCTGGGTAATTTTTCAAGAGTCCCCGGGGCAGTACATGAGGAAGTAGCTGCTCTCTCATTTGGCATTTCCTACATGTAAAGGGTAACCACGCAGTTCACCTTCCAGACCTATACCACAGTAAACTGGGACTGCCCCAGGCGAACCGTGCTGTGCGGTCACCTTGAGCATCGTCCTGATGGCTATCTCTCTATTCTTTCTTTAATCACAGAAGGTCATAGCTGCCCAGGAATCTGGAAGTCTTCCACCCTGTCCTTCACAGAAGAGAAAACATGAGGTCTAGCGGTGAGAAGCGACTTTCTCCAGGCTGCTCCACTCATGAGCTGCCTGGGGAAACCAGCGCCGTCACCACGGCAGAATGAGAATGCCGAAGCGTCAGCAGACACGGAGTTGAGTCTGGCTCCTCTGACCGGCACGGCTGTGCAGTCTTGCTCTGTAGTTACATGTGGACGTACTTTGTTCCCTCTGCTCAGCTTACGTTTCTTACAGGTAGGAACTGTGAATTCTGTGTCTTCAGGTCTCTTTTAGGGCACAAGTCTGATACTGGGCATGTAATAAGGGCTCAAAAAGTATTTGCTGAAGACCTGCAATATCAACCAAATGTTCTGGGGTGTCTCATTTCTGCTCGGGAGAGCACGTCGTATACTCAGAAACAGACAGGACACATCTAGTCCACCCCAGGGACGGCACTTGGGGCTGCAATGAGCCTAAGCCCCACTGGCTAACGGGGCCCAGGCTGCAGGGGAGCGCCCTCACGCTGCCTGTACAGCGAGTGACCCGCCAATGGTTCTGCAGAGCAGAGGGAGCTGTTACCACTGCCTTTTCTTGCTCTGCGCCCCATGGGAACTGTAGTGTCAGCCAGCATAGTTGTGCGGCCCCAGGTCACTACTGCCACAGCATAGTCTTGACTGTTGTTGTCCAGGAGTTGCTGGTTGGGAGCTGGATCTTCTCCAACAGCTTCCTCGTCCCTCCAGCTCCGAGGATGCAGAGGATGAGCACCTTGTCAGCCTTTTCTCTGGGCGTCCCACCCGCCCTGAGAGCCCAGTGCCTTCAGCTATTAACATGTTTTTCCCTTTCCTGCACTTTTCCCGGCTGGGTGCTGACACCCTCTTATTAGCCAATCACTCTCTCCTCTGGGTTGTGCCACCGTGAGGCCTGCTGTGGGGATTTACAGAAACATGTCTCTCTCCCTGATTTTCCTCCACGGGGCTGAGCAAAAGCACTGGGCTAAACGGAGCAAAGGAAATACAGAGTGAGAGGGCGTACACGTGAGCACTCACATCTCAGAAATGCCACGTGATGTGAGCCAGGGAGAAACCGCTCATGTCCCAGCTGCTGGCGGCGGGTTTCCAGGAGGCCAGGCCTTTGCAGAGAGCAGGCGCTCTGCTCCTTGTTGCTTTAACTTTTCTAGGAAACGTCTGTCAGGAGTCCTCACACCAGGGGGCCCTTTCCTGGCCTGACCTTTACAAGCCAGGGCTCTCCAGCAGGCTGGAGTTTTTATCGGTCAGGCTATCAGGGAAGCGTTTTGCTTTGGCCTTTTTCAAGTAAGGAAAATGGGATGATCATAGGACTCAAGAGTTATGCTAAATTGTGTTAGATGTCACCACAGTAGTCTATTCCAAATGCTTTCAGAAATAGTGCTTTCAAATGTCCACCTTCTGGCATCCTGAAATATGAGGAGAAGCTCACCCTATGAGGTCACAGGGCCCTGACACTGAGTCTCAGCTTCCCTGGGAAGTGACTAGGCATGAGTTAGTTAATTTCCTTGTACCCAAGTTTCTTTCTACTTATGCTAATTATTTACACACTAGAGGCCCAGTACACAAAATTTGTGCACTGGTAGTGTCCCTAGGACTTTCCAGTGATCAGGGCCAATCGGGGCCTTCCTTTCCCTAGCTGCTGGCTGCTGGCTGCTGGCCAGGGCCTTCCTTTGTTCCGAGCCACCCCGTGGTGGTAAGTACATGTCATAGCGGTCAAACTCCCCAGTCTGTAAAACTCTTGAAGGGACAATTTGCATATTAGCCTTTTATTATATAGAATATGTATTTTTCTCATACCAGTTGTTTCCTGAGATTCCACAATATGATTTATTGAAAATACTTAGGGCAGAAGCTGATACTTGATAGATACACACTTTTGTGGAATGAGTATGTGCATGTAAGGCTGTAATAACAAGTAGAGCTTTTCCTTCTTATTTTTCATGAGTTCCTTCCCTTTGGGGCCATGGCCTTAGAATCCAGTTTAATCACACTGCAAGGGGGTGTTCTTTTGGTTTCATCTACATTCAGATTGTACTTTGCTGATCATAAGATGGTATTATGATCAGAGCACCCCGTACATTGCTAACGGCAGAAAAGAATATTGATTACAGTAGTGATAACAATACAGGAAGGAGATCAGACATGCAGACGTTTGTACTACATGAATGCATTCCTTTAAATTATTTTTTTAACCAAACGAGTAATCCATGGACATAAATATTCAACAAATTGTGAATCCCTCTCCTGTTCAGGGACAACACTGTGGTGGTGTTAAAACGTGTATGCAAATGCTTTGACACTCTTCCTATCCAGAGTGTCATACACTCTAGGACTCTGATATGGTTTAGGTAGACCTCTTGTCTCCTCCCCTTTCATCAGGACAAACTGTGACTGCCTTGACCAGGCACGCTCAGCTCCACTAAGTCTATATGGCTTCTGAGACTAGCGCACTGGACACCTTGCGGCTCCTGCCCTGGGCCGCTGGAACACTGACTCTCAAAGCCTAAGGGAGCCCCAGTCATATGAAGAGGACATGCCTAGGCTTTCCAGGAGATGATTCCGGCTGCGTTCAGCCTTGAATCGTCTCTGCTCACTCAGTTGGAGAAGACTCCAGCCTCCAGCCATGTCACTCTTCCTAGCTGGGGCCACAGACATGGCAGAGCAGAGGCAAGCCGTCCCCAATGTGCCCTATTCAAATTCCTGGAACACAGGGTGGTTGTTTCACACGACTACGCTTTGGAGTGCTTTCTCATGTGGAACTCATAATGCAAACAGTCCAGATAAACTTCAGGCGTATATAAGCATGGGCCTGTACTAGTATATATGTTATTCCCCGTTTCCATTTAAGACACATAGAAGCAGACGAGGCAACCTGTTCTATACTGTGCTTTCAAACAAGGAATCGATTCAAAGATGCTTTACTCACAGGCTTGCGGACATCAGGCAAGGTGAGCCAGAGAGGGAACACGATGGGGAGGACAATCAGGAACGTGACTTGCTTGCGGGGGTTGGAAGGCCAGCCCAGGCTGAGAGGCTGGTCCTCCTCCTCATCACCCGTTTCTGCGGTCTGCTGTGGAGAGAGAAAACACACACAACACTGAATGATGATCATGCCCACAGGCCCGGGGAGCCAGAGCACAGAGCAGGGTAGAGGCGATGCGCTGCGTCAGGAGGTTTCCTAGCTCATGCCAGCAGCCTCCTCCGCGTATTTCTTAGGTTTGTAAGAGAGCCCCACCTGCCGCAGTCTGAATCTGAGGGACAGAGAATACCAGGCCCAGCCATGAGGACTTCAGAACTTTTTCTCCCCCTCTTCCCCGATCACTCTTTAGCACTTCAGATGGACCTGGTTATTCACCTGGCGTGGGCCACAGCTCTGGCCCAGGAGCTTTTTGCAAGAAATTGTATCTGCAGAGCAAAAGACCCGGCACCCACCTTCTCCTCCTCCTCCCTTCTCCTTGAGGACAAGCCAAAGGATTCATAATAGAAATCCTTGGGAAGAACATTAAATGTTTTTTGTTGTTGTTGTTAATCCTCCTCACCTGGGGATATTTCTCATTGATTCTGAGAGAGAGTGGAAAGGTGGGGGAGAGATACCGAGAGAGAAACATTGATGTGAGAGAGACACATCAATTTGGTTGCCTCTCTACACACCTTGACTAGGGTTGGAGATGGAGTCTGCAACCTTAGGTACGTGCCCTTGACCAGAATCGAATCTGGGACCCTTCAGTCCTCGGATGACACTCTATCCACTGATCCAAACCAGCTAGGGCTATTGAATTTTTTAATGAAAATATTGATTGATTGATTGACAGCACTGATTTTGAGTGGGCAAATAAAAGTAACCACAGCAATAATTCAGTAACAATATTCAACTCCCTTCACAGGCTCATGGAATGCTGTGTGGCTGTGAGTTCTAACCAGTTTGATCATCTCATTCAATTCTAAACCATTTTACTTCCAGACAAAGGCTTATTATGCAAACACATGTCCCATCCATCCTCGAACACAAGGTTGGGAAGTCAATCAGGACATGGAGCCTGGGACTGCCATCTGCAGAGGGCCCCAGAGCTGGGAGAACGGCAGGCTTTCCACGTGGCAGCAGGCAGCCAAGGTTTGATACATCCCCTGCTGACATCAGCAGCTCCTGGAGTTCCAGAGCCAGAGCAGACAGACGGCGGGTCGGGCCCTGGCGCTATGACCATTAGCCTGTCAGATGGGCCCCCCGAGCCTCTGAAACAGCCCTCAGACAGCATCCATCACTTCCATCCCTGCTTGTTTAAAAATGAACATGCGGCAGCAGGACCAAGCATCTGATCTAAAAATACCATCAGGAACTTTTCCAGGATGCTTCCTTTGGAGACCATATAAATAACCCGCACAGCTTCACGCAGCGCCTGCCCGTGGCTTCCTTCTAGTGTCGCACACTATTTCCAGCAGCAGCACCAACTCCCAGCACCCATCTCCTGGAGGAGCTGGCCGGTGGGGCAGGCGCAGGCCGGTGGGATAGGGCAATGGTCGGCAAACTCATCAGTCAACAGAGCCCAATATAAACAGTACAACGATTGAAATTTCTTTTGAGACCCAAAATTTTTAAACTTAAACTTCTTCTAACACCACTTCCTCAAAACAGACTCACCCAGGCTGTGATATTTTGTGGAAGAGCCACACTCGAAGGGCCAAAGAGCTGCATGTGGCTCGCGAGCCACAGTTTGCCGACCACGGGGATAGGGAATAGGGCTCAACCGGAGGCCGGGCTGGGTGTGAGGCCTGACTCATTGCAGTGTTATTTATAATTTATAATTTAAATCTGAGTGCTGCCAAGAGGATTTGTAGTGGTTTACCCAATCACCCACACTCTCTCTCCAGGAGTTAAAGTTAAAAATAATAACAATAGTTAAAAAGGAATCTTAAGTCATACTAGACATGGCTTGTATTAACAGGTTCTTTCTCGTTGGGCATATGTCCTTGGCAGTGGGTAAAATAGTTTATAAACAGCAAATAGGCTAGAATGAAGAGGATTAGGCAATAAGCTAGAATTAGGGAGTTGGTGCAGTTTAATTTGGTTGTCCGGATCCTCACTAAATATGCTCCTCACGTTTTTCATCCATTTGCTATGCGATATGTTGGGAGAAATGAAAGATCTAAAATGGATAATCTACGTTCCTACCTTAGGAAAACAGAATAAAAAAAGAGAAAATGAAACCCAAAGTAAGCAAAAGAAAGTATTTTAAAATATTAGAGCAGAAATCAATGAAATTGAAACCAGAAAATCAATACACTCAACAAAACCAAAAGCTGGTTTGTTTCCTATGCAGTTTGATGTGGCCCCCTTACTGCTTTCCTTCCTCATCCTGAGGGCTCCCACCCCTTCAGGGCCACCCCCATCTCCTCCCGGGAGATGCAGAGATAGAGAACATATCATCCTCAGCTGAGATCCCAGACTGTCAAGGTGTCAGCTGGCCACCTGAACAATCTCTGTTACTGAGGCCAGAGAAGATTAAGGAGCCAGGTGCATTGTAACTGTTCCCTCCCAGATAGGATCTCTTTTCTGTTTAACCAAAATAACTAACTTGTCCTGACCACCCGATAGATGCCTCAAAACAGGAGGACCATGGGAGAGCTGAGGCGTTGCATCATTCGGAATAGGTCCCCGGTCTCACATGAGATGATGGTTTTATTGTGAGGGAATCTCAGCACTTCCCTGAAGACTCCCTAAGCTGATCGGATGAGCTCATTAGACTCCTCCCCCTTCCGGGTGGACACTCCATCTGGTCTACCACTGCCGTCTGCAATCTAGCAACTTCTTCTACACGCTAAGCTAACCTTTTTGTGACCAAAAAAACATAAGCAACTCTTTATGACTCAGATCATTTTAATGACACCAACAGATGGTGACATTTCATCAATAGCCCTTCTGCTCATAACCTACGGATTAGCTCCTTTCCCCATCTGCCGAAGTCACCAGGCAGGCAGTGCCAACAGCAAATGGCAGAAAATAATTGTCTGTTTAGAGGCATAAGCTCTAAACATACTACTGTCCAATGCAAACAATTAGCTATATTGTACAGCTCCCAAAAGTTGCACTTGGGGTGGTTGTTGCTAGGGCAGAAAGGGACCAGGAGAGACTGTGTCTTGGGTTGTACAGTGTTCTTCATGGGGATTTCACAGCCTCGTGGAGCACCAGTCCAAGAGCCCAAAATCCTGTGTGGATTGAGGTGTCTAGGGAGCAAGGCTGTCAGCATATTTAGGGGAAATTCTCTTTGTCTTTTTTCCAAGTGCAGCCTCACTCTGGCTTAATGGGGACAGCTTGTAAAATGGTTAGAAAGTGAAAAAAAGAAAATACCGTTCCAACCTAACCGGTTTGGCTCAGTGGATAGAGTGTTGGCCTGCGGACTGAAGGGTCCCAGGTTCAATTCCAGTCAAGGGCATGTACCTTGGCAGCTGATCGATGTTTCTAACTCTCTGTCCCTCTTCCTTCCTCTCTGTAAAAAAAATCAATAAAATGTGTTTTTTTAAAAAATACCGTTTTAAGTCTGGGGCTCATTTACCTTTGCCCAAACTGGGGCTGCTGGCATTTCATTAGTCTTAGCCCTGGGGAGAGCCTGCTGAGGTTCAGGCACTGGTTTCCCAACTTTTCCTGGAGTTGAGGCATGCTGGCTTTGACCTTGCAACAACCTATTCTTTTAAAAAACACTACTTATTTTTATTGATTTCAGAGAGAAAGGGAGAGGGAGAGATAGAAACATCAATGATGAAAGAGAATCATTAATCAGCTACCTCTTGCATGCCCCACACTGGGGATCGAGCCCGAAACCCAGGCATGTTCCCTGATTGGGAATGGAACCGTGACCTCCTGGGTCATAGGTTGATGCTCAACCGCTGAGCCACACCGGCTGGGTGAAACAACCTATCCTTACCACTTTCGGTTCTGTGGTGACCATAGAAAACAAAACAATGCAAAGTGACCCAGAAAAAATTTGAACGGCTTTTCATATAAAGGTTTCAGATAGTTTGGTACTTACTGGGGGTCTCTGTGGAAACCCTAGAATTGTGCCAAACCAGGGCCAGCAATTACTAAATTAGGGCTCTGCAACCTCTGATAGGGATAATCCGAGGCTAAAACACATGGCCCTAAGTTCCCACATGAGGGTCTGCTGGACACCAGACCCTGAAGGAATCTGAGCAGCATGGCGGGAGGAGATGGCAGAATCTGAATCCTGGCCGCCAATCTCTGTGGTTCCAGCTGTAGCCACCACCATGGCAGGTATTCACGGACTGCCTTTAGGTGCAGAGCAGTGTGCTGTGTCCTGGGACTCTTGGTTTCAAGGAGACTTGAACTTGAAAGGGGAGACCAGAACAAACAGCTCCAAAAAACGTATTTACCCAGTTCCAGGGATACTGGCAGAAGTGGGAGGGGCTTGTTCTCCAATACCCATTCTGCCTGTCATGGACTGAACTGTGTTTCCCCCCAGTTCCTGTGTTGCAGCCCTCCTCCCCAGCACCTCAGGATGGTCTGTCTTTGGAGGTAGGGCCCCTTTAAAGAGTTGATGATGTTAAAATGAAGCCATTAGGGTGCGTCCTAAAGCAATAGGAATGCTGCCTTGTAAGCAGAGGAGATCAGGACACACACAGACACTTCAAGCGTTTGCATGGGGAGAGGAAAGGCCATGTGAGGACACAGCATGGCGGCCATCTGTAAGTCAAGGAGCGAGGCCTCAGAGGAAAACAACCCTGATAAGCACCTTGATTTTGGACTTCCACCTCCAGAACTACGAGGAAATACATTTCTGTCATTTAAGCCACCCAGTCTGAGTTATTTTCTTATAGCAGCCCTAGCAAATTAATATACTGCCCATGGACGTTAGTGACAGGAAGCCCCCTTTACTTAGGCCTGGAATAAAGACTCCACTTTAGCCTTTCCTACAGCGAGGTGTGGCCATGTGATTAGGTTCTGGTTGACTGGGACATAATCACAGGTTCTCTGCAGCTTTGGGGATGCATTCTAAAGGGCGGAGGTGTGTCTGTTATCGCTCCTGCCCAGTTCCTGCGGGTGGACTGGAGCATTTCAGT